CCTCCCTCCCTCCCTCCCTCCCTCTCTCTCTCTCTCTTTTTTTTTTTTTTGCCATTGCACCAGAGTCTGAAACAGCTTCCAGGATCTCCAGCTTTAAGCTGTGCAGGTGATTGCAGTCACACCATGACAACACTAGGGATCTAAAGTGACCTCTGTTAGAGCCTCACCACTCTATTTTTTTAGCAGTTTAATGGGTACATTATAGAGTCTTCCATTTTGTGTGGAATTAGCTCCTCCCCTTCAAATGCTGTAATTAACATCACTTAAAATAAAACTTGAATAAAATATTGAAACCTCAAAAAAAAAGGGGGGGATAATAGTGACTAGATATAAAATCAAAATGTATAAAACTTTTAATTAATAAATAAAGTATTTGCAGTGGGCAGTGGTGGTGCACACCTTTAATCCCAGCACTCAGAAAGCAGAGCCAGGCAGATCTCTGTGAGTTCGAGGCCAGTCTGGGCTACAGAGTGAGTTCCAGGAAAGGCTCCAAAGCTACACAGTGAAACCCTATCTTGAAAAACCAAAAAAAAGTTTGCTTTCAAAAAGGTAAGTTTGGTTTTGTGTGTGTGTGTCTAGCAAACTGCTGGCAGAGAGATCGACCCAGCAGACAGTGTTCTTCCACGGTTTCTGCTTCAAGTCCCTGCCCTGGTTTCTTTCCCTCAAGGACTATGATCTGGAAGTATGAAATAAACTCCTTCCCCCCCAAGTTGCTTTGGTTATAGTGTTTACCAGAACAACAGAAAGCAAACTAGAATACTAGGCTTACACAGCCAATGCCTTTACCACTGAACCCAATAACCCTGGCGTTCACTTTCTTGTGTGTACTGCTGGGTAGTAGACAATGGGAGCTGCATATCACAGGAAATATCTGGGAGCAGAAGAGTTGTATGTTTTGAATCTTAGAATATTTGCAAATGCATGACTTGAGGGAAGGGACCAAGTCTATGTGTGATACTCACTTATGTTTCGTATACACTCATCATACATATCCTGAGGTAATTGTACACAACACTTTTAGTGTTTTGACTGTCACCCATCACAGGTCAAGTATGGAATTTTCTACTTGTCATATTATGCTCCTGCTCAGAACACTTCAGATTTAGGAGCATTTTGGATTATGGATTTGGGGAACACTTCTTATTTAATTAAGTTGCTTAACTTGAAGTAAAAGTATTTTCCTTTAAACAAAAAGACAATCAAATTCATTGTATATTTGCTAAAATATGAAGAAAAATTAAACATCCAATTACAGGGTATATGCAGGAGGACACAATACAGTTAAAAATATAATTCTAGCATAATAAACCTAAATATTTATGTTTCCTGTATACTCCCCATACAGATCCTGAGGTCATTTTATACAATACTGAGAGAGTTTTGACTGTCACCCATCACAGGGGTGATTTCACTGTCACCCATCACAGGGGTGATTTCACTGTCACCCATCACAGGAGGTGATTTCACTGTCACCCATCACAGAGGTGATTTCACTGTCACCCATCACAGG